TCCCGGTGCCTTGAAGGGTTCAAAGGTTTTGATGGCCCACTTGACCCCCCAGGGCTGCACTACTTTATTTGCCAATGCCCAATCATGGGTTTCGTAGACATCCCTCTGATTTTGCATTGTTTCTTTATCTCTCTCCTGGGCCTGTATGAAGCCTGGAAAGTGGGTGTTCATTAGGAGTTTCAGAGTCTCTCCCATGGTTTCCGTGTGGCTGCCATCTGGTGCCTGTAGGCTCCCTAGATATGGAGTCTTGTTTGTTCCAAGGATTTTTGCCAGCCTAGAGGTCTCCGATTGACTCTCCACATTGCTTGTGAAAGCCCTCCAGCAGTCCTCTTTGGCTGCCTTTATTGCCTTGTTGTAATCTGCGAGCAAGCCTCTGTAAGTTTTCCATGCGTCTTCCTTACGGGGGCCCGCTCTCATGTTCTTAGCTTTGTTAAAAGCTTTTCTAGCTTTGCCCCTCAGCCCACCGAGCCTCTCTGACCACCAAGGAGTCTCAGTGGGCTGCCCTTTCGGGATAAGCTTGCAGTTTGTCTCGAAGGAGTCCATGATGGCCTGGTTTAGGGCAATCGAAGCCTCCTCCAGCTGCTTTTTGTTGTTAAATCTGAGGATGATATCCCTGAGATTGTCAGATAGACTCTCTCGGTAATTTCCCCAGTTTGTTCGTCTTGGGTTTCTCACCCATTCCGTTTCTTTCACTGTGTGGATGGACATTCTTATGGTTTGATGATCGGACGCTGAGAGGTCCTTTGAGACCCTCCAGTCCCCAATCATGTCTGCCACTCTATCCGTCCCCAGAGTGATATCTATGACCTCCTGTCGTCTCCGATCTATGAAGGTAGGTTCTGACCCCCTATTAAGGATGTTTAGACCGGCCCCCATTATGAATTCCTGGAGGCTTTCCCCCCTGCCGTTAATGCCGGTGCTCCCCCATGCTACATGGTGCGAGTTGGCATCACAACCTAGCAGGAGTTCAAGTCCCCTTTCCTTCACATGGTTGCATAGGTCCTTTACTTTTTTCGAAGGAGGTGGTTCAGCCGAGTCATAGGGCATGTAAACTGACCCTACAACCAGGCTCATTTCCTCGCCTTGTCCCAGGCCCAGATCCACTTGTGCCACAGCCAGGTCTCCCTCACTAGCCTGTGAACAGAAGAAAGAGTCTAGTCCTTTAATAACAATGCAAGATCTAATTTTCTCCTGAGTGTTTGCGTGATAGATTCTGCCACAACCACTGAGGCCCTTAATAGCGTTGTCCACTATCCATGGTTCCTGGATCATTGCTATGACAGTCTGCATCCCAGCTAACAGCCTGACTAGAGTAGCCGAGGCTGCTTTGCTGTGGTGCAAATTTATCTGTACAATGTGCACCCGGGTTGCAGCCATAATGATGACTACTTTCCTGGTACCTCTATGTACCCTTCTTCTGACTTTCACCACGGTCTTTCGCAAGCAGCTTGACAGTAGCTTTTTGAATCCCGCAGTGCAGTCTGAAGTTGCAGGCTTTCAGAACAGAGAGTGATCGGTCGTCTATCAGCGCAACGAAGTGGGCACTTTTCGCGTCCCTACTCTCACTGCCCCGAGCGACAACCCACTCTCTGGCCTGCAGTCCTGCATTTTGTTTCTCAAGGAAGCACAGTGCTTCTTGAGCGGTTAGATCTGGGTCTTCCACGTGTAGTACAACCCTGTGCTTCTTGGGAAGCTCCGAGGCTGCGACCACACGTACAGTAAGTCCAGCTATTTTGTTTTCGGGGAAAAGGCTTTTCAGCCAATTTCCCGTTTCCTCATCAGTGCAGCACACCATTGCCACACCTTCTCTTTCCCAGACACCGTTGAAGGTGGGTGCTTTCACCCCGTCAGGTAACGCCAGAATGGCCCTCTTCAGGAGTTTCTTCACCTCCGTTACCTCTTCAGTGCCCAGTTTCTGATCCGGATATGACTCCGGCATAACTGCAAACTTGAATGAGCTCGTAGTGTTCTGAGCATATGTGCCCTGATCCTGCGTTCTCATTCTCTTTTCTTTCGGTCTGACTGAGGGGCTTGGCGTAGTACGCTCTGATGGAAGGCGTTTTATTGCCTTCCTCGTAGCCCCCTCCCCCCTTCCCTCATCGACCTTCGCTGCTGCATCCGTCAAGGTTGCAATCGCCCCCGAGGTTTGATGCAGCTTCGCTCTCTTGCGACGTCTTCTCTCGGCTCCACTCAGTCTGACCCGATTCACATCGGTACCAGACTGGTCAGCCTTGTCAGACTTCGTGTGTTCGCCATCGCTGGCCCCACCCGAAGTTGCTTTTTCAATATTAAGATTTTTTAAATTGGTTTCCATTTTAGTCCCACGAGTACCGCGGTTAAGCGTTTTCACCTGGTGCATTGCCGCGATTGCCCAGGGCTTGGCTTGTCTCGGGTGGGTTACACCCAAGACTACTCTCAGAGGTCGCCCAGGTTTCTGAGAGGCACCGTTAGCGACACAGCTCCCCCTGTGCCACGCATCCTTAGGCACGGTATGGCCGAGGCCATGGCTTACGCCGCTCACACACATGGATTGGGTGGACTCCTCTTAGCGACCGCGGGCAGCGGTAGTCCTTAAGACCTCCACCGCCCGCGACCGAGCCCCCTCACTACGACAAAGTGGGATCCCAGTAGAGGGGGTTAATGCCATTAAGTCGAAGTTAAAAGATTATTACGATAGTTATATTGGTTGATTTGAATTTTATGATGATTGCTGAAAATTTTGAATTTTTCATGAATTTTTCTGAAAGTGAGCTGTTTGATGGTTTCTTCAAATGCAATGTTTTAAATTCATTCAAGTATGTGTAAATAATATTTTCCTGTTAACATTCAACTAAGTTAAAAATCTGACAAAATTAGTTAAAAAGAAAAGCCGACCGTAATGGTTGGGTGAGTTAGGTGTTGCTCCGACGGACATCCGAGTGCAGCTGCGTTTAGCGCAGTACTTGGTGACCGCTTAAGAACACCTTTGCCTAAAAATTTCAGAAGGCAGGCACGGTGTAGTGGCCTAATGTACCCCTCTAGTCAGTGTGACAGAAGGGTTCGATTCCCGGCTGGGTGAAGCGGAAATTTTTTCTCTCTAAATTCTAATTCTCTTAGAATTCTTTAATGCCTAAAGGAGGTTAGGCGGTGTTTGAGGTGAATTTGAGAGTGAATTTCTGTGGTTCCCGGTAGCTTAGTCGGTAAGAGTGCCCGGCGCGTATCTGGGAGACCCGGGTTCGATTCCCGGCTGGGTGAAGCGGAAATTTTTTCTCTCTAAATTCTAATTCTCTTAGAATTTTTTTTTTAGTCCGACCTCTAGTCAATGTGACAGAAGGGCACATTAGGGCTTTGCACAATCGGCCGGCTGTACGACTGGGGTTTTCCATAGTTTCCCGTGCAGTCCTAGCCCGAATGTGATACAGTTAAGAGTAAGACGGCCCATGGTAACGTAGATTTTAAAAAATCAGAAGAGAGAAGTGGGAGAGACAAGTCAGACGAATGGGGAGCCTTTTTTTGGGGGTTTGGAATCCGAATTTTTTGGTAATTTTTCTTTTCAGTCCCGCAATAATTTATTATAAACAAATTAGTCTCCATTTTCAGAGAACATATGATTTTCCCCAAAAACCGAAGGAGATATAGAAAAATGTTTCGAATGGAAGTATATCTCTTTTTCTTACGTATAAACTCATTTTTGACTCATCAAAATCGGCTCAAAAGTTCCCGAGATATGAGTTGAAGTGTGAGCGCGGGTGGGTAGACCGCGCGAAAGACGGGGCACTATCTTGATCCTATGAGGGAGAAACTGAATACAGAATTATTTGGGTTTGATTATGTCGATGGTATTCTCAAGCCCAGTCGAATAACTGAATTGATTCCTCCATCATTTGAACTAATTCCTTCTTGCACGTGTAAAGCATGCTCACATAATACTTATACTTGCCGAGCTAACCAGGTGTCTTGTATTTCCTATTGTAACTGCTATTTGTCTCAACAATACCAAAACCGTATAAATAAAGGTGAAGTATAAATTTATAAATTTTCACATAATTGACTCGTTCTGTTATTCTTGTAGATATCTGTAAATTCAACAAAAAGGGGGCTACCGTTGATTTTAAATAGGAATTGTATATTATCATCATAAGTTGCCGATGACATTTTTATATCGTCCTCGCGGAGCACGCAACACATTTGGTCTCTTACCTCCCATAACAAGTAGTGTAGAAGAAAAGATCAAAATAATCAATATATTACGGATATTATTCCTCTATGCAGTTAGCCAGTGCAATACAGCATGCAAAAACAAATGGTATTCGTTTGGATACTCTGATCCGCTAATTTAATTAAGGACGAAATTTCCCAACAAGTACTGAACAAAATTTTATGTCACGAAGCCTGAAACCGGCTGAATTAGACGGTAATCCAGCCGGTTTCAGGCATGAGTGGCATAAAAATCATTTATTTGTAAGAAACAGATGAATAACTTCCATTCGAAACATTTTTCTGTATCTCGTGGTTTTTTTGCGGAAAATCATTTGGTAACTGAAAATAGGGACTAATTTGTTCATATTACACTACATGCCCGAGCCTTGGAAAACAGATCACCATTCCCCACGTGCAAAACTGCCTTCCGAGCCGAAGGTGAGGATGGCAAGCACGTGGGGGAGGGTGATATGTTTTCCATGGCGAGCTGTGTATATTAATTTTTAGGTCCCGTGACACGAAAACAAATTATTGTGCGACTGAAGGGAAAAATAACCGAAAAATCTGAATTTTTCACCCCTAAAAACATGAAATCCAATAATAAAATTTCATCGACCTCTTAGTGACCCCGGGAGGGGGGTACTACGTATGGACTAAGAAGATCCAGAGTGCCTTTCTGAATAAAATTTCTTCAGCTACGATGAAAGAGACATTTCCTAAGACATTTTCTGCTAAAATCGCTTATTGACAGGATAAATACACAATGTCAAAAATAAGAATACATAAATATAACAATTGTAAATTTTTCTCAAAATACTTACGATTGATTATTCTCAGTCCAATGTTCCTGAAACATGGACCTAAAATACTGGCACCGTATTTTCAGCACAGCCTTGTGAACGTGAATAGGTTTCCCCTGCACTTGGATCGTGAGATCACTAGTTGCCTGTGAGAAATTGATTGCAGAGGAGAAATAAATTATGGAGCATATGCGTGATAAGAAGATAAGCAAAATATTTTTCTTCAATATTCTCCGACCCCACAGGAGGCAGTTTTCCCTCTAGTGCTCCCTTGCACGAGGGAAAAAAGGGAAAAAATCAAGTAGAGCTTATCATCTTATTTTAATTAGCCTTAAGAATTATGCAGATGAGAAATACTAACTGGATCATCAAATGCTTGTCTCAAGCAGTCTAAAATACTCGTCTCGTCTTGAGCATAGAGGACAAGGGGCTCGTGCATTACAGGGGGAGTCGAGTAGCACGCCAGTACATCGTGCAAGTAGAGGAGGGGAGTTGCAGTGGGTGTCGTCACACTCTGACCCCGACATTGTCCCCACATAAAGACCTTACCACCTTCAGCGAGTGCAGCACTTATGTGATTCGAGTGTACTGCTGCTATGTCAGAGACTCTTCCCATCTCTGCCACTGATAGCTAAATTCAAAACAATATTTTAGACTGGTGGAGATTCATTGAAAGTTCATTGACAGTTAAGTGACAATTTGCCGGGTGACGGAGAAAAAAGTTGGAGAAAAATTATCGAACAAGTCAAGTAATCGTGGAGCGAACTTGATTTTCAGTACTTTTTCACCCTATATCGGGGAAAAAGTGGAAGACGAAAAATTAATTTTTCTCCGTTGGCCCGAGAAAGTTTACTGAACGTGAGGGTAATTTGTACCGAAACTGTAAAATTTACCCTGCATTCCATCAAAAATTATCCCAGTGAACGCCAATGATGGCTCAATATTGCGTATAATTTTTCTGTAACGGAGAATGATTTTTTACCGAATCGTAAAATATCCTCCACAAATAAGTATTTTTTCATTGAATTACATTTCGCTCCACGATTACCTTTCGTATACACGGAGAGAAATATTCAGTAAAAATGACGGAACTCACAGTTCGCTCACCGATTACGGAATCGACTCAGAAAATTTAAGTGACCGTATCGTAATTTTTTACAGGAGATTCAGGTAAAAATTACGGAACGCTCTGGAAAAATTTCGTGACAGTCCTGTAAAATTTCCAACAACCACATTGCGCTCCGGAATTACGGAAAAGATACGTAATTTTTATTGAATATTTCTCTCCGTGTAGCAAAATTTGCTACGATTTTCTAGGTATTTTAATTCGATTTTAGCATAACTTGCGGTTTAATCAATCGATTTCATTTTGTCAAGTTCCAAAATGTTATTTTTTGACACCTTCAAGGATTTGGGGGATGAAAGACTACTGTCGATGCCTTGATCCCTACAATGATAAATTTTCAAGACAAAAAAGTTGGAAAATTTGAATTGTATCAATTACATCCCTTTTTATTTCCTTCCTTTTCTCTCTATCCATTCTCTGATTGAAACCAAATGTTTTGAATCATGTTAGAAAATTATTGTAGGGCGATGTCCTAAAACAATTTTATTCTAAACTTTTTTGTTCCAAATTTTCCAATTTTCCTTGGAAAAATTTGCAGTCTTTGAATAATGTTCATTATACTTCTGACAATAGAAAATATACGCATTCATTTTTAATTGTTTTATCTGAATCTAGAAGTTGCAACAATCTCGAAAATATTTTTTACAACCCTCCAAGTCGCATTGATCAATGAGAAAATCGTTGATAGAAAAGTGCACTTTTTGGAGGCCTCAAGCAGGCTGTTGACGTCACAGCAGAGAAGTTGCCGTATCTCTCACACACTCTCCCAGCGTACATTACTTGTACATTGACAGCAGTGTACTGTTATGACGTATGGGTCCCGCCGGCGTATGTATGCGCGCTCAAATTTAAATTCATTGACGGTAATAAACCGTGTAAAAAAGGAATTTTTTTAATGAAATATTGTTGCGACCCATCGAACGAGTTTCGAGGGAAATTTGACCAGTTTGAAACAGTGTATGTTCCCTATTTAACCCTGAGAGGTTAACGCACTGTGTTGGTAGGACGGGTTAGCTTGGTTAGCCCTGGCAGCGTGTTGGGTCGTTCACTGAAAATCGGCGTTTCCTACGGTACATAGTAGAACAAGCAGCGCGACAGAAGCCATTTGACAGATTACATATGACTGCTACTCTCCACGTATTTTTTTTCTCCTATTTTCATTTCTACCAATTTCATTGGCAGTATGCTGCCGAATCGATCCCAATTTATGTTGCCAAAAAATGTTTTTTTTTTTCAATAATTTTGGGTGAATTGTTCCGTCTCAAGAATTACCAAATATATCGACCTAAACTTTCATACAGGAATGTTCCTTGACACTCCTAAGTAGATGCCAAAGTTTCAAAAGGTTTCCCTGACTTTTACTCATGTCATAGTGCGCAAAAGTGAATTCCGACCAAAAAAATACAAAAACGACGATATCTCGAAAAATTCCAATGGGATGGTACCCACATTTTGTTGGATCTAGATAGATGACATCAAAACGTACTGTTCAAAATCGGGCCTGTATTGTGGGCCAACTCGTTTTCACGAGTCAACCGACACGAGGGTAACATGGGGATGGTCAAATTTTACGACGGTCATAAGGGGATGGTCAAATTTCACGAAAGTGAAACATCACGAGTCAAAAGGAGATGGTCAAATTTCACGAGAGTCAAACTGCCTGAGAGTCACAGGGAGATGGTCAAACTTCACAAGAGTCAAACGTCATGAGGGTCACAAGAATATGGTCGAATTTCACAAGTGTTAAACGTCACGAGGGTCTCACGGAGATGGTACAAATTTCACAGGATGGAAACGGCACGAGGATCATAAAGAGACGATCAAATTCCACGAGAGTGCCCCGACACAAGGGTCACAAGAAGATGGTCAAATTTCACAAGGGTCAAACAGCAAGAGGGTCGCACAGAGACGGTCAAATTTCACGAGAGTCAACCGACACAAGAGTCATAAGGGGATGGTCAATTTTCACAAAAGTCAAACGTCACGAGGGTCACAAGGGGTCAAATTTCACCGGAGTGAAACGCCACGAAATTGACTAGGGGTTGGTTAGATTTCACGAGTACCAAACCTCCCAAGGGTAACGAGGGGATCGTCAAATGTTCAAGAGGATCAAACCTCACGACAGTCACAAAGGAATAATGAAATGTTATTATTAAACTCTTTGTAGGAAGGATAATGGTGTTCATTATTCAAGTTTATTGAATTTTTCACTGAATCATTTCGGGCCCTGAAAAGTTCAAAAATTGGCGATCCCCCTGTGACTTTCATACTGTCTGACTCGTAAAATTTGAAGGTCCCCTTGTGACCCTCCCACGTTTGACCCTTGTGAAAATTGACCGTCCCCTTGTGTCGGTTAACTGCCGTGACATTTGACCGTTCCCTTGCGACCCTCGTGAAATTTGATCAGCCCCTTGTGACCCTCGTGCTGTTTGATCCTCGTGAAATTTGATCGTCTCCTTGTCTCGCTCGTCATGTTTGACGCTTGTGAAACTTGTCTCCATGTGACCCTTGTGACTTTTGACACTTGCAAAATTTGATCATCCCGTTGTTACCCCCGTGACCTTTGACTTCCGTGAAATTTAGCCATTCCCTTATGACCTCCGTGACATTTGCCTCTCGTGAAATTTGACCATCCCCTTGTGACCCTCGTGCTGTTTGACCGTCGGGAAATTTGATCGTCCCCTTGTCTCGCCCGTCACGTTTGACCCTCGTGAAATTTGATCATCCCCTTGTGACCCTCGTGATATTTGACCCTCTTTAAATTTGACCATCCCCTTGTGATCCTTTTGTCCCTTCTGATATTTTGACCCCGATAAATCATCTTATTCTTGTGACCTCCCTGGTCTTTAAATCCGTTATGAATATTTTTTACATTAATTTTTTTCTCATTACTTATCCGTGAGAAAATGTCGACCCCAACCCAGAAATATCGATACACCCAATATCGCGACGCGCAAATATCGATACAAAATATCGAATCTCGGAACAAAAAATATCGATACAAAATATCGAATCTCGGAACAAAAAATATCGATATAAATGAGTATCGATACTGTTTTGGGAAACACTACGCTGGTCAGTACACCATCGACTCTCATCAGGACCGAATCACTGAAACTTATCCGGGCGCACATCGGCGCATTTATCGGGAAACACATCGGTAAAGTTATCGAACCTCATCGTAAATTATCCGGTCAGTTATCTAAATATTCCGTGTTTGTACAGTCCACTTCGGTAAATCGACTATTTATTAGAAATTCATCAATTGTATATTTCAGTGCACTAAGTTTTTAAATATAGTGACAATCAACGAAACTCATCTTGATTTATTCTCCGGCAATTCATCCCACTTCATTTTCCCTCCCGACCTCCCTATCATCAGAATCACACAAGATTCTTAACACGTACATTTTGAAAAAAAAACTGAAATCGGTCCAATAGTTTTTGAGATATTGAGTAAAAGGCTTTCACATACAAAGTTGAATATCTCCGAAAGAACTGGTCCGATTTCGTTCATCCAGAATCCCAAACCTTGTTACCATAAGATCTAAAATCATACCAAGTTTCAAGTTTCTATCTCAATTATTTTTCAAGTTATCGTGCAAACAAGCAATTTCAGCGAAAAAATGAAAAAACGAAAATAAAACAACATCGCTTAGGGTATAATGGTCTTTTTTCAATCCAATTAAATAGGCATCATCATGACAAGTATTTTGAAAAAACAATCGAATCGGTCGAATGGTTCAGGAGATATCGGCAAAAAACGATTTTCGAAGAACCGTTATATCTCAGGAACTGCTCAACCGATCAAGCTGAAACTTAGCACAAATTTGAGTCTCAGTAGTACCAATTAACAGCCAGAATTTCAGCCCCTTTGCCTCAATAATTCTCGAGTTATGGGGGCAGTTCTGGACATACGAACACACATGTGCACATGCACCTACACACATACAGCCATTTTTTAAAAACATCATTTCTTCACGTTTCATGACATTTCTAGGGATTTCCACGCAAAATTAAGAACTCGAAAAAATCACGATTACAAAGCTTCTATTCGGAAACAATACTAGTAATTTACCTCTAAATGGTAAAAAACTCTTTAACCCCTTCACGTACGGGGCGCTTTTGTTACCAAGCGCGTCATACGCTTAATATCACTCAAATCTGATCGTTTTTGATGAATGGATAATAGTAAAAGCGATATGTAATTGTACATACAGTATCACTCTGGCCAATGTTGCTTCTTTGGTTAAATTATTATCCATAGTTTCGGAAATATTCAATTTCGAAGAGAGACGTCGGATTGACCGGACTAACATTGCAGTAACCCTCCTGATTGAATTTCACGAGGGTTGTACCTTGCGAGGGTCAACGGTCACGAGAGCCATACCTTGCAAGGATCAAAAGTCACGAGGGTCATACCTAGCAGGCATCAAACGTCATGAGGGTCATATCTCGTTTGATATTTGAGATTTTCCTTTGTCTACCTTTGTTCTTTAACCGTTACAGCGTTTGACCCTCGCAAGGTATAACCCTTGCGATGTTTGATCCTTGCGTGGTATGACCATTGCGAGGCATAACCCATACAACCCTGTCAGTGGGGTTGTTCTCGCGTCAGAACAACTGTATTATTCTCAATCACGCACATACGCGGTCAAAAAAGTCTAAAACTTCCTTGATAAATTACTTGTTTTTTTACATGTAGAAAACTTGGTAAAATACCGGTGGTATTTTACTTGCCCAACCCTGGCTTTGGGTTTAGCTTTTGGGCATGATTACGATTCCGTTGGCGGTACGATTTAACATACGTTTTCCGTACCATTTTCCCCAGAATCACGGGAAAAATAATGAAAAAATTCCATCTTCATTATTTCTCCTGGGAGTTTATATAGCGTTCCATATTTTGAAACGTCACAGGATATTGTTGAATAGAATGTTGGAGTAGGTGGGCAACCAGGATAATTCTCAACATTAACTTACAATAAAAATTTACTGAAAACACTGGATAGTCTAGACCAAGATGTGACCCCGGGACCTTCCGATTATGTTCTCCCAACTTAAGGTAAGGTCACAAGGAAGGGTCACAACGATCACAAAAATGGAATCGCTAGGGTCACGAAAGTCACAAGGGTCAGACAAAAAAAAAAGGAATCGCAAGGGTCACGAGGGTGCCAAGGATGACACTGCCTTCGTTGAATGCCTTTTTGACTGACAATTTTTTTGTTGGAAATTTTGTTGACTGAATTTTTGCGATTATTCCAATTTTTTTCAGTCAAAAAATTTTAGTCAAAAAAATCTCCAACAAAAAAATTTTCAGTAAATTCGAGTTTTGTTGTTTTGAGGCGGTAAATATAATCATTGGATTCAAATATGGGAATGTGAGTACATGAATTGGTGTCTCAAGTATAAGAAGCTTTATGGAAATGTTCCTATCTTAAAAAATAAGGATTGAAATGCTCATATCCTAAAAACTAATTCAGAGGTCATTTTTCGCTATTTATCCCGTATCCCTGAGGAAAAATGCTACGGAACACGTCAAATATCAGCGCCAAAGAAATCATTATCTTCCCAGCTTTCGGCTAAGTAGCACTGAACATAGTCACTAAGTGGAGTGCTGACCACGAGGGGAACACCTTGGAGGGACCGAGGTTGACACTCAAAAAAAGAAAAGAGTATTGGAAATAATAAATGTTACAAAAAGTAAGAACGAAAAATCAGCATTCGTAAAAAATGAAAGGTATACGCTAATGGGAAATTGGTGCCTTCTGAAACTTATTACTTAGTTCTGTCACATATTTTGTAGGTTTAATGGACAAAGAAATTAAAAATAATATATATCTAGGACTTCTCGTATGTCTCAAGACACTTGTTTTCTTTATGAGAATGCCAATAGTAAAAAATTGAAAAAATAAAACGTAACGTGACGTAATTACCATAATTCAAGTTTTTTCAACTGTTAACATTTTTGAAGAAAATTGTCACACGAGGGTACTCATATGGAGGTCATATGAAGGTCATGTGGAGGTCATATGAAGGTCATATAAAGGTAATATGGAAGTCATATACAGGTCATAGAGAGGTCATGTGGGATTCATATAGCGGTCATACAGAAATCATCTGAAGGTTATATGGGGATAACGGGGGGTGGGGGGGTCATTTATAAATCATGTGGGGATCATATTGAAGTCATATGAGGGTTATATGGAGGTCATGGGGATCATATGAAAGTGTTTCAAGTCATTTTTGAAGAAAATTGTTACTTGAGGGGAGATGGAGGTGTTTGGATCAAATTTGGGGCTTATATGAGGTCATATGGGGGTCATATGGAAGTCATATGGAGGTTATGTGGAGGTCATGTGAAGGTCATATAAAGGTCATATGGAAGTCATATACAGGTCATAGAGGGGTCATGTGGGGTTCATATAGCGGTCATACAGAAATCGTCTGAAGGTCATATGGGGATAATGGGGGGACCCCCATGTGACCTCATATAAGCCCCAAATTTGATCCAAACACCTTTATCTCCCCTCAAGTAACAATTTTCTTCAAAAATGACTTGAAACACTTTCATATGATCCCCATGACCTCCATATAACCCTCATATGACTTCAATATGATCCCCACATGATTTATAAAT